TGCTTCATTTCTTTGCCTCCTCTTTTATTGGTTGCCATAATGGTGGTGGCTCAAGTGTTAATCATAATTGGCATCTGCTTCAAGGTGCAGGTTTTTGCCTTTCTTCTTACCCAGGGGAGATAAGGTAGAAGTGATAAAACCCTTGTGAGATCAGCAAATTTGGTATGAAGATTCAGATTTGGACAGGACCATCTTGCACTTCTCAGAGGAAAAATCAAAACAGGCACAGCAAAGTACTTTTTTAACCCACCCAGCCTCATCCCTCATCCCCCTGATGTTCAGGCAGATAAAAGCAGTGAAAATCCATCAGCACTGAAGGAGGTGAGACACAAACTCACACACACATTTAGGAAAACCTATATCATAAAAGAAAATGAACTGAAATCCTGAGGTTAAGAACCAACAGCTGGTGAAGGGAACAGGAAGATTTCCCTTGACCAGCAGAATCTAATCAGCACATTTCAAACTGCTTTGCTGGTTGAACCCAACCACACACTTCAATGACACTGATGACTCCCCACGTCAGGCACAAATTATTGAGGAGGGGTTGGGGAGTGCTGGAAAACACACACAAGAAGTATTTGGGCTCTCTGTAATCCCCTGAGGATGTCTCAAAAGTTGGGACAAAGAACCTCCTAATTAAGTGTAACTTCTGGTAGAAATGTGTCTATTTAACAACCAGTCAGTGCAGAGGCTCAGGAGGAGCTCTAAGGTGGGACCTGAGGCTGTTTGCTGCCCAGAAGTTGGGAATATGGAAAGAAGGGTGGGACACACCTCATCAAACCTCCCCTGTGTACACACTGGGTCGTTCAGCTGAGCTGGTTTTGTGTCTCCACAGCCAATGAAAGCAAAATTGGTATGTTTTTGGGTGTGATATCAATTCTGGTGAGCTCAGCAACTGAGATGGGATGAATTGCCTTGCAAAAATTCCTGTCCCTCCCCACTAAGTATGGAGGAAGGTGAGTAATTTCAGGGGAGTGCACAGGAATGCAAAATCTCACAAAGAAACAGGGATTTGTCCAAGGTCCACTGAATCTTGTGCTATGTGGAGAAGACAAGGCTGTGTGGAGACCCCAGAGCAGCCTGCCAGGATCCAAAGGGGCTCCAAGGAAGTCAGGGAGAGGCTCTTCATCAAGAACTGGAGTGACAGGACAAGGGGGAATGGGTTCAGACTGACAGAGGGAAAATTTAGGTTGGATACATAGAAGAAATCCTTCCCTGGAAGGTGCTGAGACCCTGGCACAGGTTGCCCATGATTCCATGAGTCTGTGCCCTCCTTTGGAGCTGTGCAACCTCCATACAGAGTTGTCTGTTCATCTGTTTGCTTGCACTGCCATTCTACAGTGCTGAACCTGCGAGATAATCCACGTGCCTTGGGGATTCCAGGCAAAAAAATAAGGAATCAGTGTTGTTACTCCAATATTGCTGCAACTCTGCAGGATCCAAACTGAGCTTTGATTGTAGCCAAAGTAGTGTGGCCACAGGCCCAGGCCTTGGAGGTCTTTTCCAACCTCAATGATCCTGTAATCATGTGAAAAAAACATATATCCCTTCCCTCATATCTGATATCCCTTCAGAGAGAACTTTAGGCTTTGGTTTAAACCCTGTTCTAGGTACTGAAACAAGGACATCAAGGACCATTCAGGATTTCTAAATCAAACCCAGTCAACAATGTCCACGAATTCCACAGGTACCTGAGGTTTGTGGCTGGGAAGGGGCTCAGAAAGTGTCTTCCCCCTCCCTGAGTCTTTCATTGCAAAATGTGCAAGTGGCTGAGATTACAGCCCAGATCTAAAGCCAAATCAAATCCAAACATGTGCACGACAGCAGGTTCTGGCTCTGATTAAAATCATTAGGGTAAGTTAATGAAGGAAGTGCTAAATAAATAGAAGGAGTTTAATTCCTCCTGCAATGAGCAGGGTGGAATGATACCAGCACCAGAGCTGGTCAATTAGCCTTCAAGATGAAAGAGAACTGGGAGCTGGAATGTGCATATCTTGCTCTTCGGAGATTTAGGGTGATTTTGCAAACAGCAAGCAAAAACAGTTTCATCACTTTGGCAAGTTCTGTGTGCTTGAGGTTTGGGCTGGTTGGAGGTGATGACTCTACGAGCAGAGAGTGCCTCAGCCCCCCCAGGCGATCTCAGCTGCTCTATAAAAGCAGCAGCTGCACTGAGCTGGTTTATCTCACTCCATTCTGTTCTCTCCTCCACATCAGGTAAGTCTGAGGCTGCTTTGTTTCTTTCTTCATGCCACAAAGCCTTTGCTTTCTTGGGTTTTATTCCAGAGCTGAGAATACTGATCACTGTGAGTACCTCAGAGGTTTTAGGACTCTATTTTTCCTGTTCTGTAGTCTCTTGGCAGGTTGTGTTTCTGGGAGGATTTAGGAGACAAGACCAGGATTTGAGGCATTTCTTTCCCTGCAATTCATATCTGTACATTCTTTTACTGCTAGCAGAGAGGAAATTTTGGATGATATAAGCTTGAAAATGCAGAATTCTCCTGCAGCACTTCAGTTCATGACTGAATCAGAGAGACACAGCCACAGGCTAAGCTGCTCCACGGCTCAGCTGAAGAAGAGATTGTTTTAAACCCTCATTATTTTCACCACAGACAATCAGAAGGGAAGTTGATTGGTTAGATTCGGTGGAGAAAATAATATATCTACTTTTTTACTGGAAAAAATATTAATCCCAATGCTTTTATGACCAGATATTTAGCTGAAATGGTTTACAAACTGTGGTTTTATCTGATGGAGAAAATGTGCTCCTAATATTGTACCATCTGCTGCACTCTGCATAGAACTGGGATAGAAATATTTTATTGGCTGTATTTACTGACTGCATCAAGTGCAGGGATCTTCCCTCAGGCTCAAATGCTTTGGGGCATTGCCAGAGAGATTACAGAGATGAAAAGAACAGAACTCAGAGGAAACAACTGAAAGTGCAATGCCCCAAAGAGCCTGAAAAGAATCAGGGACCAGGAAAGGAGGAGGAAATGTGTGGTTAAACCTCTGTTGAGTCCTTGACTCTCCCCCAAGACCAAACCTGTGTCTGTCCCATTGGGTTGAACAAATTCTTACGCATCTAGTGATCATTTCAACTGCTCCCCAACAACCAGCACCAACTGGTGCTTCAGCAGACCTTGTGCTTTGTTTCTGAGCATCTCTGTGTTTCAGGACCAGCTCCATCCCCGAGAAGAAATGGCTTGCTACGACCTGTGTCCCACTCCCAGTGGCGTGGCCTGCCCCCAGCCCATCGCCAACAGCTGCAACGAGCCCTGTGTGCGGCAGTGCCCCGACTCCACCGCCCTCATCCAGCCGCCCCCCGTGGTCGTCACCTTCCCCGGCCCCATCCTCAGCTCCTTCCCCCAGCAGGCCGTGGTGGGCTCCTCTGGAGCACCAGCCTTTGGGGGCTCCCTGGGGCTGGGGGGTCTCTACGGCGCCGGGAGCCTCTCTGGAGGTGCTCTGGGCTATGGGGCCCAGTATGGCTATGGGAGCTCAGCCCTGTCCACGCTGGGCAGTGGGTACTGTGCCCCATACTCCTCTCGCCGCTACAGTCGCCTCCTCCGTGGATCCTGTGGGCCCTGCTAAGCTCTTCCTCAGGCCCTGCCGAGGGCACAGAAGTCTCTGAAGAACCCACATAAAGGCCCAAACGATGAGGATGAGGGTTGGGCGTTCCTGCAGTCTTGCCGTGGAGCTACTGCCCCTTCGCATTTCTGAGCTTCCTTCTACTTTTGGTGTGACCTTCAGCTTCCACCTGTTGTTTGCTACTGTGGCCTGTTCCAGCTTCCCTGGATTTTTGAACCATCATGGGCAGCCTATTCCATATGGACATCACCCATAATGACAACTACCTTCATCAGCAGTTGCACAACAGCCAAAGGAACACTGGCTGAGGACAGTGAGCTCTTGGAGCAGGACATTGGTTGAACCTCCTCTGAAACTGTCTGGGAACTGATTTTTGGTGTTCTGTGATCTCTTGCTTTGCAAACAGGCATTTCTCACTCATTAAAACTTTGTTGCATCACACAGCAGCCTCCTGGTTTGCCTTCAATGGTGTTACAAAGGTTTCTGTAAAGAAAGTCTCGAGTAGCAGATTTCCATCCTTTGAAGATGGGACAAACCTAAAATCATAGAATCCCAGAATTATTTAGGTTGGAAAAGACCTCCAAGGTCACATCCAACCTGTGACCTATCACCACCTTGTCAACTAAAGCAGAGCACTGAGTGCCACGTCCAGTTGGGCCTTGGACAGCTTCAGGGATGGTGAATCCACCACCTCTCTGGGCAGCACATTGCAATGTCTGACAGCCCTTTCCATGCAGAAATTCCTCCTGAGGTGCAACCTGAACCTCCCCAGCACAGCTTGTCCTGTCACTGGTTGAATTGGATTAGAAAGGATCCAAAGATCACCTAGTCCAACCCCTCTGCCATGGGCCTGAGCTTTCACAGGATCAGGTTGCTCAAAGCTCCATCCAACCTGACCTTGAACACTTCCAAAAACCAGTGACCTAAGGATTCCTTAAGGAGCATTGGGTTTTAAGTAAAATGAGAGAATGAGGTGAAAAAGGATTTGTGTCTGAGAGAGCATTTTATTTAAAACCTCTGAAACATTCAATTCCAGATCCTCCAATTTCAAAACTGATAAAAGGTGACTGCAAATCTTCACTCTGGAATGCAGCCCTGGAAGGAAGCTGCACCCAGCAGGGCACACTTCTGGCTCTGTTATGTTGAGCCATTGGCCCTCCAGGCTATTTACCAGCCTGAGCCACATAAAAACCATTAGGCAATAGGAGTGGCTAAATATTTAGTGAATCCACCTATTTAAATGCGACATGAAAGGCTTAACTCGCACTGATATCTGCCTTGACCTGTAATTTGGTGCGTGGGGAGGACTCCAGGCTGTGTTTACAACATCTTTATGAATCAGCTTCTGATTGCATCTCGTTTAACAAGTGTTACCTTGTACAGGGACATGAGCACACGCTCAGAGCACAGGAGACAAGAGAGGGTGCAGTGACCTCTAGAGAGCAAGAGGAGGAACTGATTAAATTTCTCATTGCTTCCTGCTCTGGGCAATTAGCTGTTTCGCTGACAGAGGGGACAGGGAGCAGCTGCTGGTGAAAATAGTCAGCAATCTGACCAAGAACTGTAGGAGACAGTCATAGGAGGAGAGGCTGAGGGAGCTGGGGGGGTTCAGCCTGGATTAAAGGAGGCTCAGGGGGATTTTCTCACTCTCTGCAACTCCCTGGCAGGAGGTGCAGCCAGGTGGGATCAGGCTCTGCTCCCAGGGGATGGGACAAGAGGAAACAGCCTCAAGCTGTGCCAGGAGAGGTTCAGGTTGGACATCAGGAGGAATTTCCCATGGAAAGGGCTGTCAGGCATTGGAATGTGCTGCCCAGGGAGGTGGTGGAGTCACCATCCCTGGAGGTGTCCAAGGAACAGCTGGACATGGCACTTATTGCTCTGGTCTAGTTGCCAAGGTGGAGATCAATCACAGCTTGGACTTGATGACCATGGAGGCCTTTTCCAACCTCAGTGATTCTGGGACTGTGTTTTTGGCCTGGATGACATGGGCTGCTCTGCAGGGAACGCTGAACAACTATTCTTTCCTTTATTTTCACTGGCATTGCCAAGGATTTATCTGGATTCATGGGGATGTACAAAGAACTCATAGAACTTCAACAAAGATTTGCCATCCAGGCAAAAATTCCTGTTGACTTCTCAAAGGCAAGTTCTACCCACAGAGAGTTTCATGCTATTTTTAAACAATCAAAAATAGCCTAAAAGCAGTGGATGGGATTAAATTGGAGCCTGAGGCAAGTATTGAGACACAGGGAAGATCCCCAGAGTTACCTGGGCTTAACTTTCTTTGCTACCACGAAGCAAAGAGCCACACCTGTCCTGGGGGAAAGCTCAAACTTAGTTGTAAGTGTTACAAAACATGTTCATCCATCATG